CCCACACACACACACCCCTATTGTCTTATAGTGACTTGAATTGGAAGAGGTAGGAAAACAAACTCCGTTGACTACAATCTACAACCCACTGACATCTACTGGTGAGATTTTACACTTTAACTACCTCTGCTTTTCTTTTCTTCCCTCGTTGCCACTGTAAATAAGAATGATTTCTTAATGACGCCTTAAATAAAGGTTACACCAACTTTACATGGAATTACATGGATGTACAGCCTTGTCAGATCAGCTTCAGTTGACATCTCTTCAGCACACAGACAGTTTATTTAATATGGGAAGCTTTCAAACTACCTTTAGGCACACTTCAATGTGTGGAGACTTCAATACGATTTAAACAACAACAACTCTCAACCATAACATGTTTTATTTAGATAAAAATGGCCAAACTCGTGTATCTGCTGTAATTTTAAAACGTTCACTAAATTTTGAGATTCTGGTTTCGATTTTCACATTAAAGGTCTCCATGTAAACAATAGGTCACAATAAAGTGTGTCAAAGGTAACCGCACACACACATCATACAGTCCGACCTTTTTCTGTACTATAAAAATGCTCCGCGACTTCTACAGTGAAATATAAAAAATATTACTAATATCATGCAAAGTAAAACTATTTCCTAAAACAGCGTAAATGTTCCGCTCACAGCTTTGAATGCATTTCTTTGCGCTGATATCGACAGATGCGGCTCCAGCTCACTAGAAACAGCTTTAACTGCGCATTTTTACCTCGCAGAAACTGCAGCGAGCGGCCGTCCTCTTCCAGACACATTTCTCAGTCCGAAAACACAAGTTCCGATTATTCTGTTCGCCAACATATTCGAATCAAAGTACAACTTCACAGGAAAAAGACGAAAAGAGAAAAGATCGTTTGAGCGACACTAGATGCGTCACCGCGTCGTCTTCTTCTTCTACATTTTTATTGGCGGTTGGCAAACAACTGAAAGGTGCATTACCGCCACCAACTGGTATGGAGTGTGGGCTGGAACGTCGCTTAAACAAACAACCCCCCAAATCCTTTCAAACAATTTCCCCTCTTTTAAAAACTGAAACAAGGCCTGATAACTTTTACTTCCAGATTCCTTTTGCAATAAATCAATAAGATCCAGCATCACTCGGTTCGTTTCACGGGTGCCTTTAAATGTGAACGCCTGAGAAGTATGGTTGTTATGTGAGGTGGGTCTCGCTTATGATTGAGTCCAAATAAAGCGGGAATTTGCTTTAAACTACGTTAATATCACAAATACAAACGATTTGTTTAGTCCATAAAATAGGGTGACCAACTGTCCTCTTCTTTTTGCACTTGTTGACTTGTAAAAGCCTGTGTGACATTTTTTATTTCACCATTCATTAACCGCACCGAGAAGACATCATTTAAATATGTTCACGTTTTCTTTAAGCAAACGGTATTATTAAAATTATTCATGACTGGGCCAAGTGTCCTCTTTTTTGGAAATCAAAATATGGTCACCCTACCATAAAAACACCAGCAGAATGAGACCGCTAACTTTTGTCTTCTAGTGATGGGTCGGTCGCGAACGAAATGGCTCTTAGAGCCGACTCTTTGACATGAACGACGCGAGCCGGCTCCTTATCGCCAGTAGTGATGTGCGGATCGATCCTGAAATATCAATTCCTCCGATACCAGTCATTTATGTTCTAGAATTGATCCTCACATTAAAATATCGATATTTTTAGTAATTTAGGGTTAATTTGTAGTTTATCATTAACAGCAACACAGTGGAAAGACCCAGAAAGAGAAATAAGAGTAATATTAAAACTAAGTAGCTGCCGCCATTGTTGGAAACTGGAATGGGCTCGGCTATGAATTCTGAGATATGGTTTTTCAATTTTGTTGTCCAGGTGGAAATTCGGGAGAATGGTGGCTCCGGGATTCTCCCGGAAAAATCAGCAGGGTTGGCATGTATGGTTGTGGCAACATCACTAACCTTGTCAAATACCTCAGAGTAAATCATATCACAGAATATGAGGCGCGTATGTTGAGATGAACTGAAGAGGAGGAGAGGGACAGGTGCCGCTAGGGCGAGACAGAAGCCTCTCACTGAGTCCTTTAGTGCTGCAGGCAGGCAAGGTGCTCAAATAGACTTCAGGTTTTTTATTTCTATATGATGAACTCTGCATTATTAAGTGATAAGAACAAGTAATCTGATGTCCTGTAATCATTATGACGCTATAATTTGAGATACAATAAATAAAATACGTTTTTGTACAAAGTATCGTATTGGATCAGTATCGTCGATACCACCCTGAATATTACTTGGTATCGGATCGGAAAGGAAATCAGTGGTATCGCACATCACTAATCGCCAGCTGTGTTTTTTTGTTTTTGTCTCACCCTCTCTCTTTCTCGCACTTTTTTCCGCTTCACTCAGCATGTGAGCCTTGTGCTTTATGTTGGGAAGAGGGGGGGAGGGACGGTTACACTCAGTAGCACAGGAACAGAGCAGGAGGGAGAGAAAGAGAGCCAGGGACAACAAGGTCACATTAGAAAGGTATAGTAATCATCCACAACTATTTTCAGTTGCAGATGATAAAGGATTCAGAAAGTTTATTCATGCAGGCCCCTATGACAGAGAATATGCATCTTCTTTTGTTTTCATATTTTAATTTATATTTAATTGTGTTGTGGTTTGCAGTGTTTTGTGTTGTTTCACTTTAAATTTGTAAAAGAAAAAAGCTGAAAATTTAAATAGTTAAAAGTTGAAATGTGAATAGTTGATTTTTGTATTATATGATTTATTTATTACATTTTATGTGGAGTGAATAAATAAAAGTATATTTACGGTGGCCTCTACAGACAAAGCACATACAAACTTCAAATCACGTACGAACCCTGAAGCACGTACAAACTCCAAAACACGTAAACACGTACAAACTCCGAAGCACATAAAAACTCAAAACACGTACAAAAGACAACAGAAGTGCTCCAGGATGGGCAGTGTTGAGCTTTTGTTACGTAGTGGCTACACAAGCCAGCAAGTACCAACGACTGGATTTGGTGTGTGGTAGTAACAGGTAAATGAACTTTTTTTTTTAAAAATTATTTGACTATATATGAATGCTTGTGTATAAATACACAAACAATACACATATGCTTTCATGCTTTCAATTGTGTAATTTAAGTGATCTAGGTAGCTCTGTTTTGGAAGTTCAGTACTTGCTAGAAATGTGTTTTGGAGTTTATACGTGTTTTCTCTCTAGGGGCCACCGCATATATTTATATATAAACATATATAAATAAAACCACTTTTTTTTTTTACATTAGTAATTCCTTTTGTGCATAATTTTATATTGTTGTTAATAATAAATTAATTAAAGCAACAAAACAACATGAAGAGCCGGTTCTTTTTAGTGAGCCGAACTGAAAGAGCCGGTTCTCTAAAAAGAGCCGGAAATCCCATCACTATTGTCTTCTGTTGATTTGTTGCTCAGCATTTCCACCTATTGCTGGGGGTTATCCTATTGCGAACACACTCATTGCAGTAATTTAGAGTTTAAGGCAATTTTCTGACATTTATAGGCCAAAAAAAGCACGCCAACAGCAGATGGGTTTTAATTAAATAATTGCACGATTTTTTGTGTTATTTCAGAGTAACAAGGTGATTCACACTTTGTGCCCAACAAAAATGTTCCAGGCAAGCGCATCAGCTGCTTTAAGAAGGCCAATCTTCTCCAGCTTCCGCCCTTTGTGAAAGCCCTTTGGAGGAGGCCATGAAATAGAGGAGCTCAGTTGCTGAAGCTACCTGACATTATGTGTGCTGATTTCTTGATGTTATATTTGTGCTTTAGTCCTGACCTGCCTGCTCCTGGCTCAGTCATGGCGATGGCAGCGATACATTTCCCAGCGGCCATCTTTGGGATGAAGTGTTTGATCTGTTCCTTGCTGCCGTAGTTGACGATGTAGGGAATGACGATGTCAGAGTGCAGCGCAAAACCTGGGCAGAGATGGACAGGAGGACGCTGCTAATAAAGTTACACAATTACACAGTGAATTCGCGTTATTAGCGTGTATTATTATATTTACAAAATACCACAGTTTTTGTCTTGGACGTATCATTTTATTTTTGTTGTATTTATCCGCGACACCTTAAATATATAGATAGATATAGATATAATCATACAAAGTAAAACTATTTCCCAAAACTGCGTAAATGTTCCGCTCACAGCTCTGAATGCATTTCTTCACACTGATATGGACAGATGCGTCTCCAGCTGACTAGAAACAACTTTAATAGCGCAGTAACCGCAGAGACATGCAAACATATTTCTTAGTCCGAAAACACAAGATCAGATTATTCTGTTTGCCAACATCTTCGAATCAATTAGTCAGTGAATTATTAACAAATACAAATCAACAGTTTCGTCCATTAAAACAGTAGCAGAGTGAGACCTCCAACTCATCATTTATGGGTAGTTTTCTTCTTCTATTGAAGTGTAAGCAAGTGTGTTTGCACAGCATTTCCACCTATTGGTTGGAGTTACAAAACACTACCTGCAGAATTTATCATCTTAAAGGCAATTTTAAGCATAAAGTTTAGTAAAAAATTATAGGCCAAAAAAGTGTTGATCTTTTGTCTGAGAAAACATAAAGCATAAAAAAGGCTCCTGCCAGTCATAACACAGTATGGAAGCTTTTTTTTTTTTTTTTTTTTTTTTTTTTGTTAATGTTTTTTAATTAAACCCAAATGCAAAAACCAAAAACACTATCAGCAGCTTCATGTATGCACCTTTACTACTACATCACACCACACGGGGGCAGGACTTACACAGGTTAAAACTTGTCTTACTGCACTGAAACACAAGCACCAGAGGCACTGTACATCCTGAGGGATTGTTAACATTAGGAAACATCTAATGCACAGTCCAGAATGGAGATGTTTCATTCAATAATCACACACTTTTTTATGTTATTTCAGTTTAACTAGATGATTCACACTTTTTTTTTGCCCAACAGAAAATGGTCCAGACAAGTGGGCTGGTTTAAGAAAAAACAAACAAACAAGTGAAATCTGGTGGTTTATTGAGCTTTATTGATCTTCTGCAGTACCAGTATGTTCTCAGTATGCTCTTTGACATTAAAAAGGAAAATTGTTGCTGGATGACTGAGAACCTTCACAGACAAAATTGTTACTGTTTCAAAACGACTCAGGTATACCTTCCTCTTAAAAAGTGGAGAAAATCTCATTCAGCTCTCATGAAGTTTCATTTTACAGTCACTGGAAAGATCTTTCAGTGAATGTACAACAACTACATATTAGGACAAGTTTACAATGTAAATTGTTCCATTTTTCCTGTCACATGGTGCAACATAGAGAGATAGAAAAGAACATTTACTCTTTGACTCAAATTAGGCTGATGTCATAGGCACATACAAACAAATATTAATGATCATTCTGTTATAGCATGAATATTGCAAAATAAATCAACAATAATTTTTACTCTAATAAAGAAAAAAATATTTTTAGTGGGGCAAAAGTCAACAATGGCTGAATGGCTTCTTATTTAAATACTGCAAATTATATGTAGCGATCTTTAAAATGCATCGGCAAAAACAGAGCACTTTAACTTTAATATATCAAAATTTGGTTGATCTCTTTTGGGGGAGCATTTGGTGCTTCTGTTCTTTTGTGAGTAATTTATTCAGTTTTACACACACACACACACACACACACACACACACACACACACAATGTTATGGTTCATTTTTTTTCCCCCACTTTGTTTTTGTATGATTTTTAATGTTTTATGTCCACTTTCAGTGTTGGAGCTACATGGACTCTCTATGATTTTTCGTGCTGGCTGGATCCTTTGAACGTAAAAACAAATGAAGGAACCACTTTGGATCAAATCCAGCTGAAGTCTCAGTTTTAACTGTTACAGTCCATAACCGTTACTTTCTGTGTAA